AGAACCAGCCAACTTTGACGTGGTTTCGATAAGGAAGATGGGTAAACAACATCGAACTTTCTCCCCTTTCCCTTTCGCATCTTCCACGCCATGTCAGATGATTATCAAAACTGTTGTGTTGTGTTTCTGATTTCTCAGAACAGTAAGTTTTCTTCTGGGCAAATTTTTGTGTCTCTTACGTGCCATGAGTATAAATTTTTACTTTATTATACAAGCTAAATCTATTAACTTTGAAAGATAGAGGAACGCTAATGGACCTTTTATTTCTGTTTAAGATGCTGAAAGGTCTGGTAGATTGCTCTGAGTTAATGGAGGCACTCGTATTTGATATTCCCTCGTCCTTAGGTCTCTTAGAAGATATTTACTTTTTCATGTTAAATTGCACCACATACTTTGTGGTGAATTTAAATCAATAGGTTATACATGTTTGCAAATAATTTTAATGGTATAGTTGATTTTTATTTTATATCATAATCTTCATTTAAAACCATCATTATAAAGGACCTTTGATTTCCTTTATACGAACTCTTGCAATTTTATTTGTATACTTTATTTCTATTTTCTTTGTTTATATTATTAATATTTGTATATTTTATTTGTATGCTTCTTCTTCCTGAATGATTATAATCATGCGTGCCAAATGGACGAAATAAATAAGTAAATAAGAAGGAGAGCGCGTCGAGGCCGTTCCCCGTCTCGCGTTCGCGTCGAATTTGCTCCGTGACGGCACACCGGATCGTTCGAAATCAAAAATGCACGACGCGCGAGTGGAAAGCGCGTGTATGAATTTCAAATGGTTACTTTCCGTCGAGAATTCGCGACGTCGCGCATCCGAAATAGAGATTCTTCCGCAGGAACTCGGGAAGTCGGCATGTTTTCGAAAGTGGAACGAAATTCCGGTCCGAAATTTCTCCTCGCTCGCGGCGGACGTTGACAAAAGTGCGACGTGCGCGCATAGGAACGGACTGGATTACCGGCGAGAACGGGACCGTAATGGCACATTAAACAGATGCGTTCATAACGGGCGTCCGTAGTCGGCCACACCGTTACGTTTTACGAACCGATGAATTTTTCATTAATATTTTTCCTCGCTCACGGATTTTATAGGAAATTTTATACCACCCCCGTGCGCACGCGCATTTCCTTCATCGGCGATAAAAAGGTGCTCACAGGTAGCTCGCTCTGTATGACTGTATCACATTACAATTTTTCTTTCTTTTTATCTATTTATCTTTACGTATACGATAACCACATCATTGTAGTAGACGCTCGCCTGCAATTGTGACAGGCGCGGGAAAAATTTCCGAGCCGCGGATTACCGTAAACGAACGTTTCCGGCGAGCCGATCGTCTCCTCGTGAGCGTGTTCTTCTTCGCGTTACCGACTCCATGAAATAAACATCAGCGATCACGAGAGGTGAACATTACAGGTCGATGAGCGGAGTTACGAGAGAGACACAAGGTGGTGTGTGAGAAAAAAAGGGGAAGAGGAGAGAAGCGAAGGAAGGAGTTCGCTCATTTCTTCTGGCACGTAACGAAGATCGCGATATCAGAGCTCCAACCGCGAATTCTTCCGCATCTCCCATCTAAATGTGGTGGAATAAAAGTGTTTTGTGGCTCGCCTCGTTACGACCCCTTTCATGCGAACGCAGCCATTGTTATCGTATTCAACTCTGGTCGGAATTAAATACTCGCGAAAACAATGGCTGAACTTCCACGGGAAGTTTCGTCCCGCCATCTCTAATCAACTTTTCGGCGCTCCTCGGAGGCCGTCGTTAGCGCGCCGACCGTGACATGCTAATTACACGCTGGACGCGAGTGTGTTGATTCAATTGCAATTACAACCGCAATTCGGTGTATCTCTTTTTTCATCTCTTCAGAGGAGAAGTTAAAAATATCGCCGAGACTCGTGTTCACACTTACGACGCTGGGTACACATTGATGCCTTCCACGTCTGTTCCAGGCATTTTGGAGAACCAGTCGTACACTCTCTAAATTTCTCGGAGCGAAGTCTCACTGGAAACTCAGTAAAAACTCACTCGGGAGAGAAACAGTGAAAATACTGTCGGTCGCAGTTTTTTTCGAAAGAAAATATCGCTCGATTCAGAGTGGAAGAATTCTCTTTTAAATAAGTGAAAAGTCGACTTCGAACACGGCTCGGCTGTCACATTATTGTACCGGCGGAATTTCGCACGAATAAATTTAATAAAATATATGAATATGGGAAAACGTTGAATCCTGGGATTGGAAACGAAGGTAGCGTTAATGAAGCCCCGTCAATGAAGGCTTTAGCAGCTATTGCAGCTGGCTCTCAGGTAGATGGGCTTTCCGGCAGATTGAAGGCCGACGATCACTCAAAGGAGCGCCCGGCGCGTTTGTGGCTTACCCGGCATGTCCGGCCCAATAGGTATGCACCTGACGATGATCGTGCTTGCCGTCGCCAGCAGAGGTCGGATGATACCAGAACACTGCGTGCAATAAACAGTATAACCTTTCATATACACGCATATGGAGATGACGTTCCGAGTGATCTTTCTCTCGAAGCGTCTCTCTTCACGGATTATGACTATCCTTGCTGGAATAAGCAGCAGCACGTGTGGAATGTCAGGAGGCTGACCTCGTGTGAAAATGCAAACGGTCGGCTCTTTTAACCGTATATGGATAATAAATGCAGTACAATGTCATCAGACTCGGTGGTAAAAAAAAAAGGGGAAAAAGAAGTGATAGAGAGGAGGAGAGAAAGAGAGAGAGAGAGGGAGGGAGGAAAGGTCTCGCGGGACAAAGTCTCTAATGGGGTCGCGCGCGCGCGTTTAATGTCATTTTTATGTACAGCGGAAAAACGGCGTATCTTTGAAATTACGTCTGGCTCGAGCGGCGGTTTTCCCTATTATAGAGTTCCGTTGCATCCGCACATTGGCCTGTCACGATTCCACCGTGTAATCTGAAGTTGTGCGAAGGGACTTACTGAAGTGATAGTTAACGGTACAGGCGTTATCCGGTTGCCTGTTTAATTACGCAAGACAGGAGGTGGTAGATGATGCGGTTTCAAACGGAAAAGGGATGCTCGAGAACGAGCGAGCGAGTAAAGAGCACGCGTGCGAGCCCCCTCGTTCGCGCGCGCACGAACGTGATGAGAATCCGAGCTCAATTCGCTCTGTAACAACTACGAAAATTTCAGCGCGAACGCTGCTGAATGGCGACGTTACCGAGCACCAGGGAAGTTCTATTGTGCGTCGAGTGGCGCCGAATTATTCAGCGATATACCCGGTTAAATTGGTACTACTACTTAGCGATAATTAATGTCATTATCGCGAGTGCGTATCTCGTTTATGTTAACGGAGAAAATGTAGTCGCCACCCGTAATTTTGATGAGATATTCGCCGGATCGACCGTTGATATACACGCCTGATACGTGTGCCTCTGTGTGTGCGTGCGTGCGTATGTATATATGTGCACTGTGAAAAGTTGGCAATAACTTCTTTTAGACGCGGGTCAAGTGTGTAACGTCGATAAATTGGGCCAAACGAATTTAACGCGTAGAAGCCGAAGTGCACACATGAGACATAATTTCATCGCTCTAATTAAACGTTGACGTCAACCTGACCAAACATGAGGCAATATCGCGTCGAATTAGAACGAGAAGAAGTTGGTTCGTGCAGCAAGCGTAAGCATTGCCAAAATCCACACGCGCGCGACATAATGCGCGTTCGATTATTTCATTTTGACCTCCTCCGCCCTGTATTAATTAAGATAACCGAGCCGGAAAAATCGGCTAAATTAAGAATCAACGTTGAAACGACGCTGCTGACGTTGACGCCCGCTCGGGGAATTTCGATCGATCCGGCTCGCGCGTTGGGTAAAGAAACGAAATTGATTGGACCAACAAAATCAGCGGTCATCCTCGTTCGATATCCACGAGCGAATTGCGAGCCCGATAGATCGTCGACAACCAATACAATTCGACGCGGTAATTATATAATTATTTCACCAATGGACTCGTTCTCGCGCGCAGTTTCGCTGATCCGTACGGCTCTTTCCTTTCAGTGCGTCACGCAGACTGCCCACTTATCTAGCCTAGTCAGAGAGGTAGTGGACGAGTTGGCTTCTGTAAGGCACGTTGCTGCCAAAAGACCGGGCGATCCCTCTCAGTCTCTCGCTTTTACCTTCTCTTTCACTCTCTCTGTCTGGAACAACGTAGCGTGGCGATCGTTGGAGGGGACAGACGAGGCAGCTGTTTGCCCGCCATGGAACGGATCAGTAGGGTCGCGTTCCATGTGTACCCGCCAGTAATGCCACATCGGTTGCGCTCACAACTCTGGCGGAACGTTACGGACGGATCGTTCGCCTTGGATTTTCGCGCTAAGCCGTGGAAAACCGAGGTGGGAAATCGTGTGTTGCGTGAAAGCGCCGCTGGCCATCGACTTTCGAACGGGGAAAATCTCACGGAGGGAATCACACGCGCGGCGTTCGACGGAGTCGTGCGAGTGGTGCAGCAGCAACCGCGTTGGAAAACAGTGCGTGCGTGTGTGTGCCGTCGGTAAATTGCCGGGGAAAAAAGAATCAATCGCGCGTCTTCTCTCGCGCGAACGTTCGATCGACGGAATCCCGATCGGAAAAACGGCTCGGAGCGCGCTCTCTTCGCGGTAAGGAAACGTCAAGTGGCATCGCCGGCGAGTGGAAATATCGTCTCGAGGAAATGACCTCGCAGATCGGTAGCGAGGAATAAGAAGCAATGGGCTCGAGTGATATCGCCGATTAATGTCTTAAGGGAAGCAACTCGGTGCTGGTGTAATATCTCCTGGAGTAATGGATGCCTGTCGGGAAACGAGACACTTCGAGGACGATCCTCGCCGGGCTAAGATCCCGGGAGGCTCGGTTGACCCGAAGACATACGAGAAACGACGATGTCCTCGTCTCCGGCCGCGCGGCTTCCGGAGTCGTGCGTAGAAACGGTCCGAATTGCGGACGCTTTCTGTGATAGCTAGGTACAAGACTCTCCGTCTTTATGCGCGGCAACTTTTCCTCTCGGAAAGCACGACGGGAGAGCTCTCGGCTTTAAAAACCCGGCCGACTCGCCGTCGATGGCATTCGAGAGGCGGTGAATGGCGGACGATGACACGCGCGTCCTTGCGAGCTCGGCCTCGCGGTTGCACGTTAGATATTGCATAACCGCGTTCCTCCTCGAGCGTTCGCACGAATCTTTCTCGAAGATTCCTATTCCCGACGATCCTGATTGTCGCCAATTGAAGTAACCACCGAGATTTTACGGCATCGCGAATGTTCTCGGTTTAGCCGCGTTCCCGACGAGCTCACGTCCGGGTACTTTCTCACAGAATATGCGAGAAACTACGAGGTTTTCACCAGGCGACAGTAAGTCTTCGGGAAGCTTTACGCGATTATACAGGAAGAATTCGCTCGACGTTCGGTCGTCGTTACTTTCGCGCGCAGAAGAACCGACGTCGCAGTACCGTGACTGCCGGCCGGAAAGGATGTAGATTGTCGTTTATCGCGACCGACAAACGAGAATAACGTTGAATCTGAGGATGGTGGAAGCGGCCGCGTAGGAAAATGCGTTGGCAATTGGTGAGAGTTTTTCACGAGGAAACCGACCGATCCGGTGTGATGATAATTCGCGATTCGCGCCGATTCGTCTTTTTCTCCGCGAGAAAGAAATCGAGCTAGGCGGAGAAAAGGAGAAGGGGGGAGGGGAAGGGAGTATTGTCAAGACGATTAATACGATGGTCGTCGAGGCAGGAAATGTCCAATAGCCATTCTTTCCGCTCACTTCTTATCTTATATGCCTTCTTTTCTTCTCTTGATATTCGCGCGCTCCTACGTTGTCGTCCATTCGGCTCAACGGCACGTTGATTACTGCCCGTAGGATCCACTCCCTCCCAATCGAAACTGCAACAATTCACTTGGTCCGGACTATAATTACCCTATTATCATCCCGTCGGCCAGTAATTCCCTCGTTAACTTCTAATGAGCTGCAATCTGTGCATTTCGAGCGGCCACTTTGGCCCCTTCCAATCGATACGAGAGCGCGCGCTTTCGCGAGAAACTAGCTGGCCGCGCGAAAAGTACTCGTCACGTACCGTGAGAGAATAACAACGCCGACGAATTTTCAGTAGGGGAAAGCGAAGCGTGAAACACGCAATGAGGAGATGCGTATTTTTATTTTCCAAATGAAAATCTCCAGTAAACTCTCGCTCAAATCACGAATACTGTTTGGACGCCTCTCTCTCTCTCTCTTGTATGTACTTTTTACTCACTGATTTGTGTGTTCGCATTTTTCCCGTTCTCCGCGTGTGCATTCAACATTGACAAAGGTCCGAAACGTTTGTCAGTCGTGTTATTAATAGAGCAGTTTCCTGCGTAGCGACGCATTAATTTCACTGCACGAAATTCCTCGACGCAGATATTATCCAGCTCTCGGCTCTCACACAGGCTTTTATTTTAATTAACTTCGTTATTTCTCCGCCGATATTCGCGAGTGGAATTCGACATCATCGATATCTCACGCTTTCTTCTGATACAACCACTCTCGGAATCGAGACTTTTGACGCACGTCGTCGCCGGGAACAGGAATCGTCGATATATTTCATATCGGTCGGGCCGCGAGCGATCTTGTCATTGATCTTGGGGCGCACTTCGAGATCATCAAGATCTTAACGACTAACGGACGAGGGCAATAAATTTGATTGGGCTGGCAAATTGTCGGCCGCCACGAGGAGGAAGAGGCGACGTTCGGTCCACTTCTTCATAATGGCCAATTGTCGCGCGACGGAATCGTCCGAGTGCGTGTCCTAAGTAAACAATAGAATCGCTCGCGGAGACAGCAGCGTCTCTTTCTCTCTCTCTCTCTTGCCACGTTGTCGTTTTGTCGTCGACGCGTTTGCGCTAATTCCCTCTCATTGCTTTAACCCTCTTCCGCTTCTCCGTTGTCTCGCGTAAATATTTAATAGTTTCGTCGCCGCAAGAGAGAGAAAGAGAGAGAGAGAGAGATGGGTCTCGTCCTTCGCCAATCGGAGTTGGCGAAATTCCACGCGAGTCTCCGCGAATAAGTTCATAATCGTATTAAGTAAATCAACATCTCGGGAACGCATTTCAACTCTCACGAAATTGAATAATAATGATAATTCCCGTCGTGCAGTCCGAGAGAGAAAGAGATAAGTGCCGTCACGTTGGGATCACAGGGGGAACGATCGAATGTTCAAGTCGATGATCTCTCTTCCAGCTTTACTCAGCCAAAGAATCGCTTTATGGGTTCACGAGGAGTCCCTATCTTTGCAGCTTTATCCTACCAAAGAGTGCGAGAGTGAATAAATTACGGTGCCTTACTACCGACGACAATAACGCATTGTCGCCGACCATTTAAATAAGACGAGCGATAACGCGACGAGAGAGAGAGAGAAGATTCGCGTCGTGTCCGAGGACACTCGAAGACGTGGGCGATCACGACAGACGGCTGTATTCGGAGGTAAGATCGTGGGTCGACCTCTCCAGATGAAATTTCGCAAAACCTCCTCATCCAGCCCGAAGATGGAATTACTCTCGAGACGTTCCTCGGGTGGCAGGATGTCGACCTTGAAGAGGTCGAGATCCTTCCGGGCGTCTGTGAAGCTGATGTCGAAGATACGCAATCACGCCAATCTACGATTGGCCGGCTACGACCCTTCGGCCACCTCGAGAAGTCTCACGAGAAAGGAACTCAACCCTCAAGTTCTCGAAGAGCCTCGGCACGAGAGTCGACCTTCGAGTCCACAGAAGAATCCTGAAGACACGAATTCACGCATCCGCGACGAGTCGTCGTCATCAACGTCGCGTCCTCGAAAGACCTCGGTGTCGGCGAACGACGATCGCGATTCGCGGGAGATCGTGAAGGATCTGAAGAGCAAGCTGTCCTTGACCGACAGGATAATGGGTAAAGGTCGCAAGGACGTGGACAAATCCTCCACGAAGGACGAGAACGTCAAGTCGCCGAAGGTCATTCGCATCTTTCGCAGAAAGCACAGTATCGAGAGCTCACACGAGAGCGCTCGGGCAAAGGACCACGACGGCAAACGCGTGTCCTGCGAGACGGACACATGTCAAGAGAACAAACAAGCGTCTTACGAGAACCCTGTGTTCCTACCGGACAGTTCATTGGACTCCTCCGTATCGAGTTTCCTCTTTGAAGTCGGAGAAGAGGCGGTGGAAGAGGAGGAAGGGGAGGGCAAGGAGCAAAGGCGAGATTGCGAAAGCGGGTGCGACGTACTGACCGTCATCGTGGATTCCCGCAAAGCCGCGATTAATCAGCCTCGGTATCGCGAAGCTAGCCACGAGCGAGATAAGAGCGGGAACGAAGAATACGTTGAGGACGAAGTGTCGCGGGAGGTGTTTCGTCGCAGATGCGAGACGGATCCTTCGCGATGTCTCTGCGAAGTGAGGGCCAACGGAAGAGGCGAGGAGAGGGCATCCTACCGCAGGATCGCCGAGTCCTTCAGCGGATTCGATCGTTCGCGGATCTCCAAGCTTCATTGTAAGACGACGCACGATACGTGCGCGGGGAGAAATGCGAGGACCGGCTGCTCGCAGGATCAGAGGTCCCTCGAGCATGTAAAAAGAGGCAACGCTACCTGTCCTACTTCGAAATCCTGCGGAATCAGGACGGTCGATAACATCGCGAACTTTTGGACGAGCGGCCGTGCCGGTAGTTTCCGCAGTAAAATGGCGACTGGTAAGAAAAGGCAAGACGCGAAGGATATACAGGGGATTTTCCCGGGCGCAGATCGGTCGGCAGCGGGTTCTCGTCGACATCATCGGGATCAAGTACTCTGGATCGATAAGTTTCTAATTAGTCGGCGGCGCGCCAGACGCAATTAAGTAGTTCTTAGGAAGTTAGCTCAAGTTTCCGCTGCGAATTATCGCTTTAGCTCGCCTTATCGACGTTGCGAGGAGGCACAGAACTCGGGGGGGGGGGGG